CTTGACTATCATGCACTTCACACCATCATCTAAGGGTGCCGTTCTGTGCGGATCGAGTCATGAAGAACACGACCGGCCATTTGGGTATCGCCTTTATGGCCAATTTCAAAACACATTAACTCCCTTAAATATGACCAATTCTCAGCTGCAGTGAAAAGACATACCCTGAGGGGAGAATTGACAAACGGAGTCTTTATTTCTTCCGGAAAAGGTTAAAGAAATAATTATAGCAAGAAAACTAGTCTACAGAGACTAGATCACGATATTTGGTAATTCATTTGAACGCTAACCAAATGATCACAGAATTTAGAAAAAAAAATGGAAATGACTACTGCCAGGCTGAGGAAAAAAAAAACACACACACTCACAAGCGAAATATTGCAAAAGCCAAAACAAGAAAATTGTTGGACAAAAACGGACTCTTAATTCAGGCAGACCTAGTAAAAAGCAAGATTTACAAGAATGTCACATTTCTACCAATTTGGCACTCGCTAAGGAATACCTGACGCGACCAATTGACTCCCTTAGGAACTTATTTAAATAGATAGGTTCCAGTGTTGATTAATCAACGCGAATAAATGTGAGCCCATGTCTGTGTGATGTGAAGTTAATTTTCATTCGTATCATATTTGCAGTTCGATTCATGTTTCCCCTTAGAGCCAGGCCTTTTTGCTAGTAGAAAAATAGAAATAAAATGTCACCATAAATTTCATAAAAAACACTGCAATTGAAAGTGTATATAACAACGTTTTATTCAAATTAATGTTTAAATAATTGGCAGGTCATTTACTAAATTTAATGAGTTTTCTCGATTTCAGTTAATTGAAACTTTGCTGAAAGACCTACCTCGTTGTTTTCTTTTTCATTAATGGTCATCATCAGCGGCGGCATTGGGTATTTAGAAATAATGTTCATGTGTCTTTTGTAATAGCAAGAGTTGATCACAAAAAAAAAAAAAAGATTTTCGTGAAACAACAGATGGATCTGAATCCACCCAGTGGTTCCCTTGAAAAGAATTATCAATTGAAATCTTGAAATCAAAACGCAGAGGTAAGTAGTTTGACTAATATGTATAGCTTTAAATATTGTCAATATTTTACACCTCGAACTTTTTCAGGTTTTGATTGTATGTAGTTTTAATTAGAATAGCAAGCGCAAAATGAATGTCCGCACGCGAGAGTTCATTTTCATCCGTAGACTCTCAAACGAAGGCACGACCTTTCATGTTGATTACAAGCGATAAATTTGGCCGGTATTTCCGTTTAGTTTAACTGTACTAACTAGTTCATATGGCTGTTCCGGAGGGAAGACAGCAGAAATGTTTTCGCGGCTTCACGGTCTCTGCTTAACTGCAAATAAATTTTCACAGTTCTCACATTTTCCTCGACGTACATGTATGTCATGTATGTAATGAAGTTTTCACTCTCAATCCGTGAACTCAACTCTTATATAATCACCACCACTCCACGCAATCGAATACTGAGAGTACTTGGTTACCGAAGGGAGAAATAAAGGATTAATCTTCAAGGACGGTAATTACTCGAAACAATTGCTAAATGGCTAGCAAGACTTAAGATTTAAAAGTAATAACATTTCAATGATTTTCTTCTTTTCATCTAAATGAAACAAACGCAAAATTAAGCTCTATTTGCTTGCTGTGTCATCAGTTTCATGTCTTTTATGGTATGGTAATTGTGACAAAAGAACATTGGGAATACATTACATTAGGTTTTAATTTCAGATTCAACAGCCGGTTTCTTTCTTATACTTGAAAGAAATTTGAAATTAAGTAGGTTTAAATAGCCTTAAACTATAAGTTATAGCGGATCAAAAACTTCATCAAGAGAAAAATGTATGCAGGAGTTCTGATAAAAATCTCTTTGAGCGCTTCCTCTATTGCTCGTTTATTCATTAATTTATTCAATGCTCTTGAATTTCCCCGTTTAGTACATTTAATCCAGAAATATCGATGACAGTACTTTCACTATCTTGACATAATTTTACTAATTGTAATTTGAAATACAAGCTATGCATCTCCACTTAACTTAACCTAAAGGTCATTAAAATATATTTTTTAAAAAATATTATCCAGAAAAGACATAATAGTTCAGTAACCATACAAAAAGTTCCCTTTTGTTCAATGGCATTTCACAAAGCTAGCTTTTTGTGACTGCTTTTTCTCTCTTTTTCGAGCTGTTTTGATGAAACTATGCACCATGAATCCTTACTAATGAATTCTACTAAAATCGAGCAGAATTCCGATCCATGCAGATATAAACTAAGAAACGGATTATCCGATAATCAAACGAAGACAAATTTTGGGCCAAAATTTTTCTTGGCACTGGATTTAAATCGAGACCACTACAATGAATTGGTGCCTTAACCTGCGCTTCTTTAATCTGCTAATGGCCGCTTTTAAGCTAGAGAGGCATTACAAACGGTAAATATGACAGACGCATTTAACGTTTGACGAAATTAACGCCTTCCGATCATGATCAGTACATCGCTCAGTCGCACTTAACAGAAGACGTTAACGTCTCAGACGTTAATTAATAGAGCATTTCCGAGTTCCCCAAAACTCTGTATCAAAACGAGGTTAAGTGCTCAGTCTTTGATATGGAAATGATTCTTCATTCTCATGCAAATAAACTCTCATTTTCACAAGAAAGGTTGTGCACTTGGCCTCATTTTGAAAGTGAGGGTTTTTGGAACTCGGAAGTGCATGGCCTATTGCGTCTAGTATGAAAACGGGATGCCGTAAACTGGGAAGCATTCATGTCCAACTCGTCCAAAGACGACTCAGGGAAGAGTCAGTGTTGTATATTTTTTTTTCAGAATTTTTGCGTTTTCGATGTTGTCATCTACTTTTATGCGTCGCGTTTTTACACAATCGAGTTTAACATTTCTCACGTTAAATAAGTTTTCATGACTTTGACGTCTCTAGCTTAAAACGGCCAACTGTCAGTTGCGCGTAGACAGTTCGCACGGTTGAAGCGGGATTTTTATCCTAGCGCTTGTACTTGAACTTACATTTGCGTCCCTAGAAAAAATGTAGTTGATTGTATTTTAGCTATAGCGTTGTTGACTTGATCAGACTAGTTTGTTTTTAACCAAGCCATTTCAACCCACTCGTAAAGCTGACTTCAACACATTCTCGGTTGTTATTAACAAAGTTGTTGAGAAAGTTACTGGTTGGAACAAAGAAATATAAGCCCTTGCTTTGTTAGAAACAACTAGAAACTTTTGGATTTTTTTTTACAGAAGGAAGACCACTTGGAGTTATGGGAAAAGGGATAACCATCGAGCTAGAATGGATCTTCGTTATAATAATTGCTGCAACAAACGGTAACTCTTGATACATGAATTAAAAAAGTATGACTGTTTTGCAAGACCGTATAAGTGTTATCATTCAAGTTAGTATTGATTGGTCTAAAGGACCTTAGGCCCGTTTCCAACGTCGTGTTACTGCCGTGCCGAACTCAGTTGATAGAATTAAATTCGATTTTTACGCGGCAGTAACGCGACGTTTGAAACCAAGTCGTGCTACTGCCATGTAGCACGGCAAGCCTTGCCGTGCTACACGGCAGTAGCTCGACTTGGTTTCAAACGTCATGCTATCGCTGTGCCGAACTCAGTTCATAAATTATAAATACATTAGAATATATTTAAAAGTTTGGTAAACTGTTTCGTTTTTTGTGTGTGTTTTGTTTTCGGCAATAGCCGTTCTATTCGACTGAATTAAATTCGACGTCTGAAACCAAGTCGTGCTGCTGTCGTGCTGCAGTCGAGCTACAATCGAACCAGCTTAGCACGGCAGTAGCACGACGTTTGAAACAGGCCTTAGGTCGCCTGCACAGGGATAACTGCCTACACTCAATCATTTAGCCTCCTCAAGAACGATTGAGATAATTTGTGACTCATAAATGATCTCAATCGCTTAAACAGTAGACAACATTGTACTTTATTATTACTATGTTTTGTTATGTGGATAAAATAGTACGCGCGCTCCAATTGGCTGTTTTCTTATAATGGCCGGGCATTATTGGCCACATAGTTGTCCAAGGCGTACATGTATACGATCTATCTAGTGGACATCCTTATAAATATCCATGTTATGGTAAACTGACAGCTATGAAGAAGGTATCCACTGACCAGCGTCACCTGACTGTATCGCGGGCTCAAGTGTACAACTCGTTGAGGTGACCTGTCTTTTAAAGTTATCCGGTGGCCAGTTGTTGGTTTTAATTGATCGCAGGCTCAGGTCCATAATGAAAAGGCCTATTAACCTCGTCCGTTCGGTCATTATTGGGAAATGTCAGTCATCAAGGCCTCAATTTGAGATTTCCCTGTAATGACTTCACTCTCGGTTAATAAGTGGTATGTTACAACTGATAACACTGGAAACACTTTTTGTTCTGTATTTTGCTTCTCTCCTTTTGTAGGGTTATCTGGGAACTTCACTTCTTCGTCTCCATCAGCTGGTAATAATCATCTTTTTTCTGAGTTTATTCAATAAGCTTCTTATTGACGGACTATTCCCAAATATTTGTGTCAATTTAACATTGCATTTTATCTCCTATTTCTATTATATAGCAATATTTTATAGTTAGAACTGGGTCAAACAGCAGGGCGGAACAACAGCGAGGAGTACGGCGACGGCGACGTCAACGAGAAAGGCAAAAAAGCAGTAGGTTTATGTTTTAACTTGCAGCACGCATTTTTTTCAAATTTCGTGCCTGCACTGCACATCAACGACGAATTGAACGAGTAAAGCGCAATAGTTTAAAAGCATCGCGAATTCACTTTATAAGTGACGTTTTCGTTGCCGTCGTCGTCTTTGTTGCTTAAGCCCTTTAACCTGATCTTGACGTTCCTTATAATGTTACCATAAACGAGTCAGTTCATAAGTAAATCAGCGGAATATGTTGTCCCAGTGAGTGTAGTACTGATTAGGACTATTTTTGACAGAGATTGATGATTGTTACTTCTGCCTTTGTTCAATGTACAATCAATACGCATTATTTATCTATGCAGTTACATCGTCCAGACATTGCTTAGGATTTGATGGTAAATCTTACAACGTTGGCGATGTTTGGAAACCCACACCTAACAGCCAGTGTTCGTGCACTGCAGAATTACTAATCCAATGTTCCTCGAGTTTTGTCTTCACATTGAAGCCTTTAAAACCAACCACTGTGTTCAGAGTCTGTCGAGACAACGAGCAGCGTATTCGTAATCCTGGAGATGAATGGTTAAACGATCCAACGACAAAGTGTACCTGTTCTCGAGATAAATTCGTCCTATGTGCCATTCTAAAGGAGCCAGTTTGTATGGACAGCAGTGGTAAAATTAAAAAATACCAAGAGACGTGGCTCAAGAACGACTGCATTAAGTGCGCATGTATAAATGGCAGTATTAACTGCACCAGATATGAGGTCAATGTCACCTATGGTTTGTTTGAAGTGAAGACTTATCCAATATGCGAGCTCTGTTGGCATACCTTTGAAAATGATTCATCTGAAGATTGTAAAGGTGAAGAAAGAAACTAATGGAAGAAGTATCGATCATTAATGGCTAAACATTTTCTATTAAAGCATATATGCTATTTTTCCTGTAAATTTTTCATTCCATTAGGGATGTCATATGATTAACTGAATGCTGAGTACAGTATTACTGTAGCCATTAAAAATACGCTACTGTCTTTTGACTGCACATGTAAAAAAATGAAGCCGAACTCTGTTTCGCGGTAAAACGTGTAGAAGCTCTTCTCGAAGTCTTAGAAACAAAGAAATTTTAAAAATAAGTTGTAATTTTGCAAATATTTTAAACAGAATACCTACAGCGCTTAAGTAAAATTTCAAATGATATAACTAGGAGGGATCCTTTAATTTATCTGAAAGGTCCCTAATTTGAACTACGTAGAAAGCGTTAATACCGTCCTTTATGTTTTGACAACTCCCTTCCTTTAACAAGTCCTTATTTCCAATTTTTTCCTAAAGCTTTTTTGGGAACTGCCAGTCAACAAATGCGAAGACCAGCGATGTTTAAATGCTTCACCGTAGATCATTTTATCTGGGACAGTCACAGGTGCAACGGAATCTTTGAATGTCCGGACGGATCTGACGAAACAGGCTGCGAAGATAGTAAGACATTCTAAAAATATTTTTAAGGTCTTGGTAAAGGAAGACGAGGCGCCCACAGAAAAAAATTCTTGTCGCGCGAGTATTTTCGCTACAAAGGCAAGTTATATATCAAATTAAAGCTAAAAGACTAAATTACCTTATAAAAGGTTTTATTTCATCGAATTTCGAAAGGCGCTCAAGTTTTTTGCTCTTGAACTCAGAGGTATCGAGTTTACTGCTTTCGCGTTGTTAAATATTCACTTCCTTTTTATTGCATCTGATTGACAGATAACAGACCTAAAAAAGGGTGTATGTGAGGAAATTTTGATTTTTACGTCTAAAATAGAGTGAGTGTCACGCAATAGACAGGGACTGTCAATCACTTTTCGCGCGCAACGCTTGGCGGGAAAGAGAAAAGGCTCATTTTAGAAGGGTTAAAAAGCACTTTCTGATTTTCTTTTTCTGCCAAAATAAAATTTAGGACCCACTCATGCCAAAAATCCAAAAAAAGCAAAATCGAGCTATGTACTAAAATTTTCATTTACCGAGACCTTAAAGAGATATTGTTATTGGACATACCTTTACCACTCTCAGAGCTAGTCTTGCAAGTCATCAACTAAAGCAAAAGTTAATTGCCGCATTTGAATTTGTTAATTGACTATTCAATGCTTTTAGAGCGGCTAGGAAAAGGTGAATTCAGTTAGGAAAACGGTTGAACATTATCCACTTAAGATGGCTGGACCCGATTTTGGAGGGACACCTTCCACCTTTTAATGTCTTATATACTTAAACAAATTGATCTTTTATTGTAAAAAATTATAACACATTTATTACAAGAGAATAAGGTGCGGTTACACACACCACGGTAAAAGACACCTCCCAAGGTAAAAATGCCGCAGTAAATTCAACGTGGGTTTAGTTTACCGTGGTAACATGTGGTGTACCTACAAAAATACTTAAGGCAAGCCACCTTAAGATGGCGTTTTTCTTCCCGTTCTTCGTTTTTAACAAATAAGCGGAGCCATCTATAAATAATAATACTTGTTGGCCCTGAATTCCTTTTTATAAGTAGTGTTCTTTTGC